GAGCATTTTCTTTTATTATTACTTCCTTCTTATTAACTCAACTGATTCTTACTTACTGAATTATTATAATTTGTGTCAGATAAACTAGGAGCCCTTTAAAAACAAAGGCGTATCAAGTGCCTCACCTGCCCCAGCCCTGCCTGGCGAGGGCCCAGCATCATCTGCTTCAGGGGGCCATTAAGCCTTGCACTCTCTGCTAATGGCGCCCCTGGAGTAATGGTGACCATAAAACGTTTCGCTTCAGTTTCTCATTAGTGAATCTTCTGTTTGTTTTCTTTCTGCTGTTTGGCATTTCAAGGCCCCACAGACTCTGCCTTGTGCTCACGTTATTAGGCCCTTCTGACTACTGCGCTGCCTCACTTTTTATTAGCACAGCTGTGTCAAGTTCTTCCTAAGTCTCTTCTATCTCATCTACCTCCTTGGCTTTCTTCCTTGGCTATTATCAGTCCACTTGCTGTTCCTTTTCACTTCATTGACATCAAACTTGTAAGATCAAAATGAGTCCATATTTTCCGCAGGCAGTTGCGAGTGCCCTTTGTCAGCCTGAACGACTATCCAGGAGATGAATCCATCAACGTACAAATGGTATCTGTCATTCGGAATTTGAGCTTCGCATTGTGGTAAGGTTAAACGATGCAAATGTCGGAGAAGAGATACAAATAAACTTTGCTTTGGGGAGCAATGGCAGCAGCCAGAGGCAGAAATTTGATCCCAAATTTACTGGTTATAGATAATTTTGGTTACTGTAGTTCATCTCACAATGAAGACATGTTCTTCTAATTTCATCTGTGCAAGGGCCCTGCCTTAAGCACATAGCAGTTATAGAAAAATGATCCATCTAGGTTATCATTTCATATTAACTTGCTTATGATTCTAAACTGGAATGGAGATGTATCCATACAGCCCTATCCTCTGAAAACAGACTGGCTTTGATTCCCTCTGGGGTCTCGTTTTCCTCCACTCCTAAGGCAGTTCGCAGTGCAGGACGTACTGCAAGAACCCCTACAGCTCGCCAGGAAGGCTCTCTCGGGACCCTAATTGTGACAGCAGTATCTGCTTTGTTTTGTTCTACAGTTTATCAAGTTTGCTTAATTTACGTATGTTTAAAAGTTTATGTGATATAATGTCTATAATTGCATATTCTACTGACTGCTCTATTTTCATTCTTTTCTTTGGAAGTTAAGAATCTACCAGTTAATAAACCTTTTTAGCTTTTAGCTAGTTTCTTGTTAGTTTCCCCAAAATTGCTTTTCTGCGTTCAATCCTGACTTAATCCCTCCAGTGCTCAGGTTAAGAAGGATGCTATTTGAGTTTTAAAAATTTCTCTATTGAGGACTTGTTTGCATATTCCTTTTGATTACTCCACTGAGGCTGAGGACGGAACTCCCTGCAGTGAATGATTAAGTGTAGGGTAGGTGCATTGTATTGCCAGTCTTCAAAAGCGAAGAGAGTTGTCTTTTTTTGGGGGGGTGTTTTTTTGTGTGTGTGTGTGTTGTTTTTTTTTTTGTACTGTTTACCAGGAAGAGGGTTCAGAAAACAGGGCTTCTCACCAGGAATGCAAAATTAAAAGAATGTGGCTCTGGGACAGATGCAGAAGTCTCAGCGTTGGAGGTGGGGGTGTGAAAAGGAGCCCCGAAGAAAATTTAATTTTTAGTCTAAGAAGCCAAGCTCACATGAACAATTTCTCCTAGAGTAAGGCCCTTTCCAGTCAAATCTGTTGGTGCTATTGAGCTGGTATTTCAAGTATGTCCATGTGCATTTAAACGAATTGCTCCAAGACAATCTGATTATGCGGTAGTTACTTTGGTGAGAATAGCGCCTCAGTGGAATGGAAACTTCATTTGAGTCTAATATTAGACCTTGCTTTGGAAAATTCCTTTTAAATGATCACAAGCTGGGAATAGCAAAAGAATTTAACTTTCGACAGACAGCATTGACCAAGAATTTTTAACTGCTTATGTTTGGGTTCTTGGGAAAGCAGATGTGAGAAACTGACCAGACTGAAATGACGAGAGTAGAATCGACTTGACCCGGTGATCCGGTGTTTATATCTATGGCTGATAAGTTTTGCTCTTAGTCTCATTTGCTGAAAATATTTTCATTCTTTCAGCATGAGCATGCTAAGGATGAAAATTGTTAGGATGCCTAATTGTCTAACAATCTAACCTTCCAGGCTTCCAGACATTGTTGCTTCTAAAGGGGTCGGAGCCAAAGCAGGGAAGGGCCAACAAACCTACAGAACCAAAGGCAATTGAGCAAGCACTGGGAACTTGATCAAACCTGGCCTTCAGGGAATATGTTAGTTTGGTTGTGATCGAGTGAACTGGGTCAACTTGCAGTTTTAAGTAAACTTTATTTAAAGGGCTGCCTCCCCCACTCTACCTGCCCCCCAAAACGATCCTGTGATTTAAAAATAAATAAATAAATAAATAAAATACACACACACACACACACACACACACACACACACATTAACTGACCTCGACATTTCTATACCATGTCTACTTGGCTTACTTTAAGGATGTATTTCAGTTGCCTCACATACCTTGTACTGGGAACACCAATATTGGTGTGAGATGCGTTTAATAATTTAAAAGATCTTTCTGAAATTGAAGTGCACCTTTTAATCACAGTGTATATTTAATGTAGTGTTCTTTTCTTTGACTAAGCTGGTAATCAATTGATGGTGCCTTATAATTGAGGAAGAATATGAATAAATTAATAGGAGTTACCACTTATTGATCACCCCATGGGTCCCAGGCAGTGTCTTTGTTCTAGATACCAATATTATATCTCTGATGTTCACAACAATCCTGTGGGCATTAATTGCTGTGAGTCTGGTTTTGGAGGTGAGGAGACTGAAGCTTAGAAAAGTTACGTAGTTTGCACACGAACACACAGCCAGTAATGGCTAATTACCTGGCAACGATGGAGTTCAAATCCAGCAACATTCGACTTAAAGCGCATATTCTTCCCTGTGCGTTACCTTTTGGTGTTTATGGTGTTTGAAATTAAACCTGAGAAATTTACATTTACTTACTTTCTTTTCTTCTTCTTCTTCTTCTTCTTTTTTTTTCCAGAAAGAGAGAGAAACATCAGTTTTTTGTTCCACTTATTTATGCATTCATCGGTTGTTTCTTATGTGCACCTTGGCTGGCGATCGAACCCATGACCTTGGTGTACAGGGATGATTCTCTGACCGAGTTGCTCAGCCAGGGCCTATTAATTCATTTTGTATTTATTTTTAAGCCTTACTTGAGGATATAACTTACTGATTTTAGAGAGAGGAGAAGGGAGGGAGAAAGGGAGAGAAACGTCAGTGTGAGAGAGAAACATTGATCAGTTGCCCCTTGCACGTGCCCCCACTGAGACTGAACCTGTAACCCAGGCATGTGCCCTGACTGGGGATTGAAACCACAACCTTCTGGTTTGCTGGACTACTCTTAACCAACTGAGCCACATCAGCCAGGACATCATTTGGAAAGGGCAATAATAAATCCATTTCAGATTAACATAAATAACATTTAACTTAAAAATCACTTTTCCCCAAAACAAAAATATTAAGAAGTGTTATTTTACCTGTTTTTTTGCAAATGTGTTTATTATTTAGCTAAGTGGAAGGCTGTTGGATTCTTTTCTGCCTTTAGTCTGTGCAGCAGACTGTTTTAGTTGCACTGTGTAAAGAAAACGTGGCCCCACACAGTTACATATTTGCAAAAGGGGGGACATCTATTTTAATGGTCTTTTTGGATAATTGTAGATATTCTCTTTTGATATTAAACCAAAACTCCATAAGTGATAGTTTAAAGGTTTTTTGTTTGTGTTTTTTTAAATTTATTGTTATTCTTTTAAAGGTTTGTTGCAATGTAGAATCTGAAACTACCCCAGTGGACTTTGGGCGCAGTTACATTAAAATCCTTTGGTTTGAATTCTTTCTTAAAAAGAATTCTGAATAATATTTTTAGATGGTAACCCATTCCAGGAAGTAGAGTTTAATTCCCACCTCTCACCCACCCTGAGGGTGGGCTAGACCTAGTGACTTGCTTCCCAGGAATAAAACCAGGGAAAGGGAAAAATGAGTAACTTCACAGTGGAGAAACCCGAGAACATTACCTAAATAATCATGTGGGGAAGGTGCACATTGCCCGTGACGTCTTGCGGCAGCCACCGCCGCTGCTGTGTTCCTTTAATGCAACAGGCTCCTTTTCTTCGTTTTTAGAAAAATGCCTTATCAAGTCAGTCTAAATACCGTGGTTTGCCTGGTAGCTATTCAAGTAAACAGATGTTGAGTGAAAAAAGTAGGCGGAAACGATGGCGCGTGTACTTTTCCTCCCGACACCGCCACGCTCCCGTGATGCCGCGCAAGTGTCTTACGGCCCTTCCCACGTTGTCACGTAGAATATTCCAAGACAGGTACTTGGGCGTCAAGATTTAATGAAATTAAAAATGTTACTGCTTCATTCAAGACATTCTTAAGAGAAGCAGACTCTCCCTCCCCTTGTTTACTGGATGTGCTGGTGGGGAGTGCAGCGACCGCCAGTGCGGTTGCCCCGCTGTCCTGACCTGGGCTCGGGCTCCTTGGCGCCATTGGTTCAGATACCAACAGGCTGGCTTCTATAAAAAGGTCTTGTGTGTCCCTCGGGGTCCCCGGACCGCACTTTGAGAACTGCTCTCCTAAAGTAAAGTGGCAGTCGCTAAAAGGTCACACGGGAACAGCTGACATTACTGGAGACCCATTCCATTGCAAACAGAGGGTGGCGTGGGGGCAGCGCAGTGTGTGGAGAAGGGGATCCGCCTCTGGCGTAACTGGTCTGGCTTTGGAGGGCTCGCGAAGCTTTTCCGTCTGTGGGAGCGCCGCACGGTTTTTCAGTGCTGAAATGCAGACTTTGGTAATCTGGTATCTGTGTTTGATGCTGCTGTTTTTTCCATAATCACCCCTAAGACTTTATTCAGGAAATTCAAAAAATTACCTCTTGACCTTTGTTTTCTTTTCTTTAAAGGTAAATCTCACCTGGCTATTGTGCAGCGAGTAAACAATGAAGGAGAGGGGGACCCGTTTTATGAAGTTCTGGGAATTGTCACCTTAGAAGATGTGATTGAAGAAATCATCAAATCTGAGATTCTAGATGAAACAGATTTATACAGTGAGTAGCGTTGCCTGAGTGTAATTTCTCCAAGCCTTTGATTTGCTTTTGTGGTCGTGTTGTTTGTGAGTCATCTGACATCTCTCCAGGTGTCGTGCGCCTCTGTTTCTAATTATGCACCCTATGTAGGCTGTGTGCAACCGATCGGTATAGGCCAGTCCCTTCGCCAGAGGGGGACGTGGGGCAGATCCTGTGATATCAACTGGCACTGTCTGTGTGTTTTGAAAAGCCAACCTTTTCCAACCATTGGTGGGCACTGCTTGGCCTCACCAGAAAACTGCATTTTGCACAATTAGGTAAATCATTTTCAGATAAATTTCTGTTTCTACTTACGGTCATAATTCAAGTACTTAAAAAGTGAGGGGGATTTGTTAAATCAATGGATAACAACTGTTTAAAGTTTCTTGCTCCCATGGATCAGGGTAGAGGTGAGGTTTCTAAGTGTTGTTTTGCTGGGTCAGTGGTGGTGAGGTGGGGGTGTAGGAGGCAGGACAGGATGGGATACACAATAAAAATGCGTTTTTCTGCCCTGGCTGGTGTGGCCCAGTGAATTGAGCGCCGGCCTATAAACTGAAAGGTTGCTGGTTCGATTCCTGGTTGGGGCACATGCCTGGGCCTAGTCCCCAGTTGGGGAATGTGAGAGAGGCACATTGATGTTTTTCTCACCCACTTTCTCCCTTCCCTTCTCTCTAAAAGTAAATAAATAAAATCTTTAAAAATGTGTTTTTCCCTTTTCTCTGCTTCTCTGCCTTCTTCAGAGGTGGGGTGAGGAAAGACTTGGATCCAGGGGAGGGGAAGGAGAGTCCCCACACCTTTGCCCGGGGGCAGGCTAGCTTCTGGGCTGAGCGTTGGCCCTGAATCCGGCCCTGTTTAAGTCTGCACCTGGGTCATTGGACTGTGGAACCTCGATCTGCCGTAACCTACCTCACCCTTAGCAAAGTAAGACTCTTTCAAGGTTTGATAATGCCAAAGATGGGCCAAGGCTCGAGATGTCTGGGGTCTCAAAGATGGGACAGAGAAAGAACATTCAGCTCTGTTTGTCCCATTTGTCTTTTGAAACCTGACTTGGAGGTAGGAAATGGGTTGTTGAAAGGCCTGCGGCGCTCAGGACAAAGGCCTCCGTGCTCAAAGCAGAGTGATTTTATTCAGTTCCACTAGGAGGGGCTGTCCCTTATTTTCAAATTGAGGAAGTCTTCTCTGTGCCCTTAAAAGAATAAATTTTATATTAGCCAATGACCTGCTTCAGAAAGTTATCTTCTTTTTTTCCTCACATCTGTGTAGTGTTCATAAAAACCACCGGTTTCCATGTGACTTATACTTTTGACACTTGGAGAATAGTTAGGTCTCATAATGGAGAATATTGTGAGTGTCGACATTCTTTTCATTGTTCCTCACAGTGACTGTTTAATACCAAGTGCATCTGTGTATATTTATGTGTTTCCCCAGGGACAGTATTCATCGTAAGAAAGATAATTTAGACATTTATGATATCTTGAATGTTTGTATTTCAGTTAACTTCTTTCAAACCTTAGATTGATTTCATACAGAAATGTTGCCTAATGTAACTTACTGATATGAAATGCTGAGCTTGTGGTTTCATGTATATTCATTTAAAAAGAAAAGATTTTATTTATTTATTTTTAGAGAGAGGAGAAGGGAGGGAGAAAGAAGGGGAGAGAAACATCAATGTGCAAGAGAAACATTGATCAGTTGCCTCTCACAAGCCCCCAACCAGGACCTGGCCTGCAACCCAGGCATGTGCCCTGACCTGGAATTGAACCAGCGACCTCTTGGTTTGTGGGCAGATGCCCAACCCACTGAGCCACACCAGTCAGGCAGGTTTCAAGTACATTCTTGATTTAGATAGGTGATCAGAAATGATGGCTTTTGTTGTTAGAAATCATTTAAAAATTTTGTGTAGATTTATACTATCTGATTCTCAAAAGAATTTGAGATAGAAGAAATTATAAATTGTGATCATCTTCCAGGAAAAGCCTACTAAGCAATCTGTTTCGCCCTGGGCATGAAATGGTAGTGCAGACTTTCCACTCTTGGGAAAAGGAGCAAGCATTTGGAGCCTTGTCTTTAACCTAGTTTATCCTGGATCATTTTTCTGATCCAGGATAAACTAGAAAAATACTTGAAAAAAGGTTTAGCCTTAGACCTTCTAGATCAGAGGTTGGCAAACTGCAGCCTTAGAGTGCCTGCTAGCTGTTTTTGTACGGCTCACAAGCTAAGAATTTTTAAATTGTTGGGAACAATCAAAAGAATAATTACTTCGTGACATGTGAAAATATTATGGGATTCAAATTTCGCATCTGTGATAAAGTTTTATTGGAACACAACCATTCTCATTCACTTATGGCTGCTTCCGCTAAACAACTGAGTGGAAAAGTTGCAGCAGAGACCACACGGTCTTCAGAGCCTGAAATACTTGCTTTCTAGTCCTTTACCGAGGAAGTTTGCTGACCTCTGTTCCGGATCACTTTCTTCAAAGTTGCTTGACCTTGAGGATCCCGTGGTCTGGGGTGGAAATGAAGCGAACAAATGTTACTATTAAAGTGCTGTTCTGTGAAAGTGTTTTTGTTTGTTTCTTAAGAGATTTTGCTTGTGTATTTGTTTTTTCTTTTAGCACAGGCTAGGAGCCTCTTGAAGGCAGGCACTCGCTCTCCTTGTGTCTTCTGTAGCACAGCGATTGTTCTTGACTGCAGTGCGGTGACATTGAGTAGCAGGACGCTGTGCACTCGGGCTGACTCCTCTGTTGCCGTGTGGTCGTATAGGTTCTGTGAGGGGAGGGTTTCTGTCCAGGGCTGCCCGACAATGTACTTGTAAGGGCTCTAGAGGTCTTCCTGAAGTATATTTAGAGTTGCTACTCATCAGGTTGCCTGTAACTTACTTTGGATTGTGTTACGCCTCTGCAGCACTGGTTTGATGAGGATCCTCTCTTCCTTCGTTCCATGCGGTGTTTGTAGGTAGAGTGCCCACAATCTGGAGAGCCCAGCCGTTCCAGTATATTTTGTAATATTCATTCTGAAAGAGCCCTGCTCTAATGGAATGCATTTCCTTACTTTTTTCTTATTCTTTCCTCAGCGGATAACAGAACGAAAAAGAAAGTGGCCCATCGCGAAAGAAAACAAGATTTTTCTGCCTTTAAGCAGACAGACAGCGAGATGAAGGTTAAAATATCACCACAGCTTCTCTTGGCCATGCACCGTTTCCTGGCAACAGGCAAGTGCAGCTTATCACAGTTTGAAATCTCTCCCAACCCTGGAGTGTGTTTCTCACCCACCACTGACTGGGTTGGGCTGGGGTGGAAACTGGGAAATGGGGTGAAAAGTAATGCCGCTTTTGTGTTTTGTTTTTTGTTTTGTTTTGTTCTTTTTAAATTCTCTCCTCTCCTATGTTCAGTGTCGGCATGAACTCTCTGAGACATTTACCAGGGGTGGACCAGTAACTTAAAATTGGTCTGAAAGGTAAGGATGAATGTTAGTGCCACACTGCATGTGAACGGTAGGCCAGGCCGCCTGCTTCCAGCTAAGCCCGGGGAGAGCAGCTGGTGGAGTAGGCTGACGGTGCGAACCAGACACCACCTCCCTGTGTGTTGGACAGTTGAGTAAATTCTCTCTCCAGCTTGCCTTGGAAGAACAGTTGGATAGCAGTGATAACACAGGTGATATGATTTGCAAAGAAGAAGAATAGATTTTCAGAACTAAATCTTTATCTTTTATGGTTTTAATGAAATCAGAAATTCTAAGAACTTGAACATGGATTTCTTGATGGCCTCTTCAAATCAGATCGTTAACTTGGGCCCATTCCAGGAGGCAAGTGTGCACATTATTAAAACTACCTACCCAGCCGGCACTGACCGCTCCAGAGAGGTCAAGGTTGAATGGACTTAAGAGACGGACTAACCCTTCTCACATCCCCAGTGGCTGTCTAGGCGAAGGGTGAGCTCTGTTGGCCCAGGGGAAGGATGAGAAAATCTGAAAGTACCCAGTGACCTGTCAAAGACGTCTGTCCAAGATGGGCAGCCAATGCCTTTCAACTGCGTGCATTGTACTTAAACTAGTTTGAAAAGAAGGCTGACAGCAGCTACATGATGAGACGTTACGCATTCTTTAAGATCATGTTTTCATATCATGGAAATGCAATGTAATATTTACAACATGGGAAAATACCCATAATTTAAAGTGAGAAAAAAACAGGATATAAAACTGTGTACAGGAAGATTATAGTTGTGTTTTCGTGCATATACACTCATACACAGGCACACATGCCTAGGCAAGATACCGGAAAGAAATGCCCACCAGTTGCTCAGAATGGTTACAAGTGATTGGTTTATAGGTAATTTTCTATTGTCCTCTTGAACTTTTTCAGTGTTTTCCAAATTTCTACAATGTACTATCTTATTTTATTACAGAAAAGCACAGAAGCTAATACAGAATTTATACTTTTCAGATCTAACATGATTTTTAAAAAACTTTAAACTTATAAACTTATCTCTAACTTGTTTATTCTTCCTCTGATTCTGACAAATGTTCTTCATCATTTAAGAACCACAGTTTAAAACTGAATGTTTCCCTCCTCTGCCTCTGAGACACCATACAGTCCCGTTTCAGTGTAGCGGCACCCTTCAGTTGGTAATTTTGGTTTTTCTTTTAAATAAAATTGATGTCTCTGTAAGTATAGATCAACATAACTTTTTTGTTTAAATTAGCAAGCTGGAGTGCATGTCGATGTGTGCACGTGCCTTGCTTTTACTCCGAGTCTCTCCGTGGTCCTTTTCCCAGACCTTCCTGGGGCATTTGAATGGGAAAATGAGATGCGGGGGCACCGTGTCGTGCGCCTGGTACTAACCCCCACCCGGATGCTTCCTGACCTGGCTTCTTCCTTTGGCTGTTGTTGGACAGTCAGACTATTGTGGCTGTTGAAGGGCTTCTTTGCAGTCAGGGAGTCTGTTTCTGGTTGATTTTCATGTGTATCAGTCAGAAAATTAGGGTGTTTTTGTGGAACTGAAACCAATGACAGGTTGAAAAGGAAGAATTTTAAAGAAACATGCGAAAATTCAGCGTTCTCTAATTTCTCCCAGGTAATCTGCTCCGAGTGGATCACCAGACGGAAGTCTCGTTAGTTCATATTGTATCACTTTGATTCCAAGTATTCTTATTATCTAAACACCTTAATCACTAATATAATTTTTTCCCACCCATTTGAAGTGTAATATCAAGTTGTGTTTATATCTATAGAAGTAGAAGCATTTAGCCCATCCCAGATGTCAGAGAAGATCCTCCTCAGGCTGCTAAAGCACCCCAACGTCATCCAGGAGCTGAAGTTTGATGAGAAGAACAAGAAAGCCCCAGAATACTACCTCTACCAGCGCAACAAACCTGTAGACTACTTCGTTCTCATTTTGCAGGTCAGAAGAATTACTCAGTAGTTTGATCTCATTGAGCACCCGTCCTTCAGTTCGGAGGAGATGAGGTGTAGGTGAACAGTGCCAGGGTTTACATATTTGGCCTCCAGGGCAGCCATGTAAGTGGGAGAATTTCATCTCCCTGTTTTCGTATCTGTAAACTAATTCTAATATAAAGCAATGTCATTAGTTACTTTAATTTCCAAAACTGAAGGGCACTTAGTGAGTGCAGAGGCCCTGAATCCAATGAAGAATGGTGAATTCAATTGTTAGTATTTTTCAAAGACGTTGGGGGAGTTACCTATATATGTCTAAATCTTGGCTGGGCATTTGAAATTTAAATGTCTTGAGTCCCTTAGGTCCTCTTCTTTTATTTTCCCACCCCCTCATTAGGATTTTGTCCTAGAGATGTCTTACTCTATCTCCTCTCTTAACACCATCAAAGTATTCCGTTTATTATTGTTTTTATTCCTGGTTACTAACCAGGCTGTTTTACGGAGGAACGAACGTCATAATCAGAGCCTCTCAGGGCAATGGTGACTTGATTCCTTCTCACTGTAACATAACCCACTGTGTAGGTGGGAAGGTCGATCCAGCTGAACCCTCCATGGGGCCTTGGTGCTCAAGTTAACAGGAGGCCCTGTAATACCGCAGTTTGACTTAATAGAGCACCGTCCTTGGTTGGCATGGTGACCGAGATGAACATTACAATGAACACAGTGCTGGTCTTACTCACTTCATGTACCTCTTTATTGAAGACTTACTTTATAGAAAGGAAATCTTGAGTTTATTTCAATACAAGAATACTAGCCCCTTTGATATTCCCCGGTTTCTTGGTTACTTCCAAGATATTAATTGGGGGTATCATTATAAGAGTGTGATTAGTACAATACTTGGTATGCCCTCAAATTTACATGAGTCCAGCAGGGTCCCAATTATCCAAATGAATTAAGCAAATTCTTTTTAATTGAAAGTAACTCTTTATCAGACACGTAGGCATCAGAAGCTCTAGAAAGTGCCGTGTTCATGTTTGTGCTCGTGCCCGAGTTTGGACAATATTGCAGGATCTGGAAGCAGAAGTGAGGAACCAAAGAAAAATCCATGATTAGCTGGTTATATGCCACTTTCATACAGTCTTTCTTGGAGCTCTGTTGTTGGGGTTTTCTAATTCAATACCAAATTCTTCTAACCTTAGTTTCATTCAACCCTAAATAGTGTGTGTGTGTGTGTGTGTGTTTAATCCTCACCCAAGGATATGTTTATTGATTTTAGAGAAAGGGGGAGAGAGGGGAACAGCGACTGGTTGCCTCCCACATGGGCTCCAAGGGAATCGAACCATGAGCTTTTGGGGAACTGGACGACGTTCCAGCTCCTGAGCCAGTTCTCCAGGGCTGTGTTTTTCCTTTACAGGAGATGGACTAGCTCACAGCTCTGAGGGGGCTGCAGGGAATTTATTTACTGCAGTGAGAGAATAAAATATTTGTTTTTCAAAAAACCTAGATATGAGTATTCCTTAAAGCTAGGGAAACTTTGAATTACATTTAAAAATGGTTATTTAGGCCCTGGCTGGGCAGCTGAGTTGGTTAGAGTATTGTCCCAAAACACCAAGGTTGCGAGCTCCAACTCCAGCCAGGGCACATACAAGAGTCAGCAAATGAGCACAAAACTAGTGGAACGTCAAGTTGATGTGTCTGTCTGCCTGTCTTTCTTTTTCTCCCCTCTCCCCCGCATTTTCTTCCTTCCTCTCTCAAATCAATTTTAAAATGGTTAAGACAGTTTTAAGGATTGGCATTGTGAATTTCAGCAGTAATATTAGAAACGGTGAGGATTTCAGCTGTCGATTTTTATATAGTTAGAATTTATGAAGTTGGGATTCAGTAATGCTCTGAATGTATATTAGAAAGCCATGTTTTGGCTGATGGATTTAAAAAACAAATTTTATGGAAGAGGACTTCATAATCCCATGTCCATTTACAAGTAAATCTTTTAATAGGAAGATATTTTTGACAAGACATTTATGTATATGTACCTGTTGGAATAACTATGTCATGTGTATATTTATATGCATGTGACACGTTTACCGAACTGTTGAACTGATGATGATGTGGGAGTTTTATAAATAGTAGAAGTGCTGGATAAAAAGGATTTGTGGGGGTGTTTAAATGATAGTTCAGGAGAAAAATGTCTAAATAAGCAAATAAGAAATACAATTACTATTCCGTAGCACATAACCAGATTGACTTTAATAAGTATAGGAATAATAGGAAACAAAAGGAATAGGTTTTTTTCTTTGCCAATTATATAACCAAGAGAACAGAACACATTCTTTCCTGTGGTGTTCATTTTTCTTGTTGATTTCACACCTCAGATTTTTTTGTTGTTGTTCAAGTGCCCCATCCATACTCTTTTTCAAGACTTCTGGCGTGGACTCAAAAGGGATTTTTCCCTATGGAGTGAAATCTGTTCTTTTATGGAGGTGACAGGAAGCATCTTAGAACTTACACAGCCCTTGACAGTACTGAATACCATTGCACTTGCTACGGGAGAGGGATTTAAGGCTTCAGTACCAAAGCTCCTCACAGATTTTTAAGTTTTGCAGGGTCTGTGTCCCAGTGAATAATGGATGCTTAATCTTGAGTCAAGTACAAATAACACCCATTTAAAAAAAAAAAAAAAGACTACTTGTATACCCAATGTTGACCCAATTTTTTAATTTTATCCTTACCTGAGGACATGCTTATTGATTTTAGAGAAAGAGGAAGGAGAGGGGAGAGAAACATCCATGTGAGAAAGAAGCATCGATCAGTTGCCTCTCTCTCATATGTTCCTCAACCAGGGACCGAACCTGCAACCTAGGCATGTGCCCTGACTGGGAATTGAACCTGTGACCTTTTGGTTTATGGGGCGATGCTCCAACCAACTGAGCCACATAGGCTGGGCGGTGGACCCAATTTTAAAAATTCTACTTAAATATGTGTAAACATAAAACTTGGCATAAATTCCTTTTGTTTAGAACTCTTAACTACAACTATAAACCAAAACAAATTTGCAGTTACTATTATATACTAAATGTGTAGATGGCATTTGGCTGGTAGGACAGCCCCGGTGGTCCCAGAGGCAGGGAGCTCTAGTGCAGGCTCTTTTTGGGTCCGGCTCACCTGGGTGTCTGTGTGCCTAGTGATGACTGTACCCTTCAGCCCTTCGCTCCGTGGGGGCTCTTTTGAATGTTTGTACAGTGTCATGCTGTAATCGGGCTTCCACTGGGTATAACTGAATTATTATGTGTTTAGTTTTCCTCTGTTCCCTTCTCTTCATCCCAGTGCTTCTCACACTTTATTAAATGTTGGAATCACTTGGGCTCCTGGTAAATGCCAGGTGTGGTTCAGCACGGTCTGGGGTGGAGTCTGAGATGCCACAGCTCTAACCAGCTCCCAGCTGAGTGCGGAGCGAGGCATCGTTAGCCATGGTGCGTCCAGTAGCAGCCTCTTGGTGTGGCAGCGCGAACGGGAACACCACGGCAACGTTTTTTTTTTTTTTTTAATTTAACATTTATGAAGCGAACTTGCAGAGTCCCAGGACTACATCTGCAAGCTCCAAATTGAAAAAGATCGGTAGGGGATGTCTGAGCACCCGTCCCCCGAGGCCACGGACAGACAGACGTCTCTGGGGCGTGCCTCCGCTCTAACTGGGACTGCTGGCCAGGGCTGGTGAACACGACCTGGTGTTTGCGCCCCTGGCATTTAATTACCTCCTTTCAGTTGTCAAGCACCACTGAGTGCTTCATGGTGGTAATTTAAAAACAAAAGGACTCAAGAATGCGCAGGAGGCCAAGTAGATGCTTGGTGGGTGGTATCTGATGACATCTTTGGTCTCCGTGAATCCTGGTCCCTTGATGTGGTCTGTACCAACCAGGATAGCGCGGGCTTCCCCGCTGAGGCAGGTACACCCGAGCTGGGAGTACCTTGTGGATACTCAGAAACTTTGAGAAGAGTTACCTACCCAGTACCTTCCCCAAGAGGAAGGTAGGTCTCTCTTTGAAGGCAGTTTCATTCGGGAAGTCAGCTCTGCCTGGGACAGGGCGGCCGCCTTCCTCTTTGGTCAGGTTGCCAACATGACGCCCTAGCTCCCTTTCAGAGTCCGTCTTTCCTGTCCTGATTTCTTTTGTGACTTGTTAGGGTAAACTTGTGTATAGCTCAAAAGGAAAATTGATATGTAGTGTTTTCCTCATATGGAAAAAGTTATTATCTGAGAAGATACCTGATTGATTTTGAGCCAGACAAGCCATCTCCTCTTGAAGTGGCCCCTACTTTATAGACTGGCAGATTTATCTGGAAGTGGTCACTTTTGGAGCCATCGACTCTCATATGTGAATAAAAGATGTGTTTGCTGGATGCTTCTAAATCTCACCTGCCAGAAAAGCTTCGCTCCTGGGGACATGATATAGGGCTGAGCAGTTTGGGAACTGTAGAATCTTAGAGTGTCATAGCTGAGAAAAGAACTTCAGGAATCCTTTAATCTATTGCAGTTTTATAAGCAAAGTAAAATTAGTCTAGTGCAGTGGTTCCTAAAGGCTGATACTTAAACTTTTTACTAGTTTGAGGCAAAATGAGAAAAATGAAGACAGTTGCAGTGAATTCTTCATAAAACTGTATGTATTCAGTTTAAAAACCTGACAGTTATTCTGAAATTGTGTATTTTGGGATTGAAATGTCTGCTTTTTTAGGAAGCGATGATAACAGCAGATAGCTCTGTTTTTTAAAATAGGTTTTATGAACTAAAAATTTGGTGACCCTCTGTGTCTCCAGTATTGAGGATGGAGGCACATTTTCCTAGTTCTTGGAATGCAGAGATCTAGGAACCACTGACCTGCTGTGTCTGTCCTGGACCTTGGTGGCTCTAGACCAGCAGTTTTCCCCAGGCCTGCCACAGAATTTCTAAAACGCGTGATACCTGACCACTTAGTCAAGGCCACTGACCTCTTTTTCCCTGAGCTTGTCCAATAACAAAATGACAACAGCCAACACAACGATAGCCATCTGATGTGAATGAATGAATCAAAGTTATACCTATATTTTTGTCTGATTGGCAAAAGATATATCGATAGATCTACCTGTGTGTGCTGCAGATTTTAGTAGTTAGTTTATGTGTGCCCTGAGAAGAAAAAGGCTGAAACTCACTGTCCTAGACTCCAGAAGGAAGGAGGTTGGCGCTCCCCGGCCTGGGTGCCTGCCGAGGAGCCGCCCACTGAAGCGGCCGCAGTCTAGGCTGGGGCTTTGAATCCCTGTGCAGCGTCCCTGTTTAATTAGCGGGATTGCAGCCACCATGACTTTGGGGGCATTTCTCGAGAGACAGGGCGCACAGAGGTTCCAGAGCTGGGCCATCATTCACAAACTGCCTTACGGCAGTGACTCCCACGCTTTGCTGCCTGCTAGAGTCACCTGAGCTGCCGGCTGCCTGGCTGCGCCCCACGCTAGTTTAACCAGGATGCCAGGGAGAAGCAGCCAGACATCGGTTTGTTTTGTTGTTGTTGTTGTTTGCTTTTTAACTCCCCAGGCATTTCAGCACACGGCAGCGTCTCCGTCCTTTGAGGTTCCCCGGCAGAGCTTCAAAGCATGGGAGTCGTGGGTGCGTCCCGGGAGCTGTGTGCCCAGGACGGAGGCCAGCAGGTGCTATGCAGCCTCTTTGGGGGAGTTACTGTTGCCCTCCTGGCTCTGACACTTGATTATAGGAAAAATAAATGTGAACTGATGCCTGTTTGCAGGGACACAGAACACAAAAGGTCCTGTAACTTGTAAAACACATGATCCAGGTCAGCTGGAACCCCATGTGGATGGAAGCCACCATGGGGCTCTGTTGCATTTGCTCCTTGCTCCCGGTTTCCTGCATAGGAACTCAAGTTAATGCAGTGGTCCTGCAGCCACCACCTCTCCTTCCCCTGCTCTCTTAGGGGGCCCTGCCTCCCTCCTCCAGGGCAGCCACTCGGCCCTGCTTCTCGCTCTTTTCTGCCAGCCTTTGACTGTGGCTCCTGCAGACACCACCTCTTCCTTCCACACACCCTCCCCCGCCGCCTTCTGTGTGCCCCGGATTCCTGACCCTGAACAGCCGTCGCTGGAGCCCCAGGCCGCCCTCCTCACCTGCTGCCGTGCCTCTCCTTGCAGACGCCGGCTCTCCCTGCCCCTCCGCTCTCTGGCCTCTTCCGGGCACTATTCCTGCAGGCCGGCCGCGACACCCCTGCAGGACCCTGACCCTCCTTCGATTTGGGAGGTTCTCCCCTCTCCTAGTTTCCGTGCTAACACAGCTGTCCGGTTCCCCTGGTGTCTGTTTTGTCCTTGGGTCCCGTAGGAGTTTCCGTTTCTCCCCCTGCCCTTGGTCATGGCCGCACGCAGCCCGGTCCTTTTGGTCCTTTTGGCTTCCCGCTTCGTACTCTCTCATCTCCAGCCCCAGGCCCGACCTTTCTCCCGACCTTCATTCTTCATTTCAGCCTTTTAAATGGACTCTTCTGAAGGCCTCGTTCTTAAAGGCTATCTGTCCTCTCCTGCTGGCCCCACCACGGTGCCCTGCTCCCAGCTCTTCCGCCTCCGCGCAGGGTGTCCCGTTCTCCCCTCTTAGAGCGAGCTTCTGCTGTGGCTGTGGGATCCCCATCCCCTTCTCTCCCTTATCCTTTGGTGGTTTCACCAAATTATGTTGATTCCTTATCCATGATCTTTTTCCAATCCTGTGGTTGCCGCTCCAGTGTAAGTCTAGACTTTATCTCCCTGAAACCGTATTCCCCTGTCCAAGAGCCTGACCTCATTAGCCTCTCGCCCCAGGAGCGTCACAGCTGAATCTGCTCTCCAAACTGCTTTTCCAAACCCGTCTGCCCCGTCTTCCCGAGCAGACGCAGTGAGCCGGCCGTCTGCTCTCATCCACGCTGACCTTCCTTCACTCTGTTCCCTTCTCTTGGCTCAGTCAAATCCTACGGCTCCTTAGATAGTTCCTTCCTGTATAAAATTGTCTTGCTATAAGAAGAGAAAGTAATTTTTCCCCTCTCAATTCTTTTTATTCGTATTGCCTTTTTCCTCCTGTAGAACTTGACTGCTTTGTATCGTTGATTTTCATGTGCTCTTACCTCCCTACTGGATGGTAAACTCTTTGAGGGCACGGAGAGTCTTCCCACAGCACCCCCGTGTGGCTCCCCGTATGGCTGGGTGTTCAGCACCTATTTGCAGGTTGATTTTAATTATGGGTGAAGTTTTCAATTCCTTTCTAATAGCAAAAGAAAGTGGTTGGGGATTGGTCAAACTAATATACCCATTGAGTGAAGGAAAACCTAAAAGAAAGACAACAGATAGTTTTCTAAAGTGATTTGAGAGAAGTCTTCCCTATTTGGGAATTTAGCATAGAATAACCGGGAGTGATCAAAATAACAGTTTGCTTTAGTGATGGCATGGTGTATAAGAGCTTGTTCTTTGGTTACTTAATCTTTCTGAGCTTCCCACTCCTGATTTGTAAGAGGGGGATAATTGTGTCTGCATCATAGAGCTGTGAGCATGAAATGAAACAATCAAAGCACTGTGAATTGTTAGCACAGGTCCTCTTCAGGTAGCTTAAGTTTTTTTGACGATTTTATTTATTTTTAGAGAGAGGGGAAGGGAGGGAGAAAGGGAGAGAAGCATCAATGTGTGAGAGAAACATTGATTCATCGCCTCTTGTACACACGCTGACTGGGACTGAACCCGCAGCCCAGGCATGTGCCCTGACTGGTAATCGAACCCGAAACCTTTCACTTCACAGGCTAACGCCCAACCAACTGAGCCACACTAGCCAGGGCTGGTAGCTTAAATTTTGTTTGCCCTTCATGAAGGATGCACCGTAAAGGTACCTGCTCACTGAGAGGCAATGAGAGCCATTCTGACCCTTGGCTTGGAAATCTAGCAGTGCAGCTCACTTATTAGGGTATAGCAGCAGCCCAGAAAAACACACTGAGTATCTCCTGTGAAGGGACTGTGATGGACCCTAAAGCTATAGGGACGAGTAAGGAAGGCATAGTCATTGTGTCCCGGGGAACTGATAAGAGTGAAGGAGAAGTTGTAGGCAAGCTGTTAGGGAGAGGGGAGAAAAGGAAAAACCTTAGGAGATGTTTTGTCCTGATGGAAGACGACTTTCTTAAGGCGCTTTTCCAAGACAGTGAGGAAAAAGTACTGCAGTGTCCCAGTGCCTCTGGGAAGTCTGGATGGCAAGGGCTTGGCCTGCAAATCGTCAGCTCAGTTAGGGGACGGGGGTAGTAAGACAAGAGCTCCATCCCTGGGAGCCAGTTTAGTGATCTCCGTCCATGGCCACAAATCCTGCTGACCCTTGGCCCTGACTGCTGCAGCTCGGGGTCCTCCAGGACAGCTTGGGTGACTGTCACTGGGCATCTTCTCAGTGTTTGTCCCACTGAAGAAGCAAGACATGATCTTTTTATCACTGGGAGGGCTCCTGAAGAATCCACAAACTGAGGATGCGGGGAAATAGTCAGTGGCCTAGAGAAATTAAACATCACACTGTAACTGTCACCTCTGCGCCCCTAGCCAAGTCTAGTTTTCATATTTAAGGTGCATGCATCCTCTCCTCTAAGTGGGAAAGGTTGTCAGAGGCCTCCCTTCCTTGGGATTGTCAGGAAGGGAATTTAGAGAACATCTAAGGAAGGACACAGTCCTGCCCGGGGTTTGCGCGTAGGTCCGCGTGCTTGGACTGAAGATGCCCCCCTTTTCTTCTTACAGGGGAAAGTGGAAGTAGAAGCTGGGAAAGAAGGTATGAAGTTTGAAGCCAGTGCTTTTTCATACTACGGCGTGATGGCCCTCACAGCCTCCCCAGGTGAGTTTGCGTCAGCCTCCGAGGTCCTGGCCCTGTTGCGGGGAGTAGTGCCTTTCTGCGTCGCCTTCCTTTCTCTGCCTGCCAGGTGGCCCTGCATTTACCTCTTGAACTTTTTCCTGAAGTCACTCATGTATACAAAAAACCTGCACAAATCACAAGTATCTATACTTATGTAAATTTTCACAAACTGAGCACGCCCGTGTAAACCAGCCCCCTAATCAGAGACAGGACATCGCGACCCCACGGGGCCCTCTGCCACCACCCTGTGAGCCACTGTCCCCCAGCACTAGCCACTGTCTCCACTGTTCTTGAACTTTACACTAATGGAATTACTCGGGGTGTATTACCTTGGCTCTGGCTTCTCTCCCTCAGTGTTGTCTTTGTCACTTTCGTCTGTATTTCAGGGGCGCTTCTACTCCGTGTCTTCCCATTGCTGTGGAGTGTTCCATGGTGCGAGTGTGCGGCGATGCGTTTATGCCTTTCATTGCTGAGGGGCGTTGGGGTGGCTTCCTGTTTGGGGCTACTGTGGGTTCGTGGCTGTAAACCCTCTTGCACCTGTCTTTTGGTGGGCGTGTGTGCTTGTCTGTCCGGCCGATGTTTAGGAGCGGGGTTGCGGGGTCCCAGGGAGTGAGGGCATCTTCAGTTTCATTCAGAAGCTTCTGTCCATCAGTTTTCCCACGTGGCTGCAGCAGTCCACACACGTGCCTGCACTGAGGAGAGTTGCTGCGGCTCTGCACCCTCCACTTGGTGTTGTCATTTAAATGTTAACTATACTGAAGGGTTTTAAATTTCCATTTTCCTGAGAATGAATGAGGTAGTTTGTTTTTATATATATATATATATATATATATATATATGGCCTATATCAAGCTCTTCCTATCTAGAGAGCTGGCCACTGAGTCAGCCAGCTGGGGGTGGCTGTGCTGTGGGTGTTAACTAAGGGCTCTGAATGCCAGGAAGCGGTGTCTGTCCTGGTAGGAATGTGGGTACAGACACCTACCTGGCTTGCCTCTGGGATGGGACCTGAATAGTCCCTCCTGGCATTGCTTGCTTGCCAGGGGGGTGTGGGGGGGGAGTGTGTGGGGTGTGGGTGGGGGTGTGTGTGTGTGTGTGTGTGTGTGTGTGTGTGTGTGCATTCTACCTTATGCAGGCTAGACCAGGGCAGGCAGGTAAACACAGGGCCTGTAGTGCCACCTTGTGGACAAATGACAGACCGGGCTAGGAAACAGCTTTTGCAGACCTCAAACTTAAAAATAACCCATCCTAAAAAAAAATCCTGTCACTTCTAAAAATCAATCTCAAAAGGGGACAGATACCTCCAGACAAGTCTGTCTGTGTGATGCTGGTCCTCACTTCCTGTGCCAAATGATGTCTCAGTCACCAAGGCGTTACAGTTAGAAAACCAGGGAGATGTCAAGAACCCTCACGTTTCCAAACCTCCCCTGCCCCAGATGCACCTTCATATGCTCCCTGGGAAGGTTTTTGAGTCACATGGCCAGTGTCCCCAATGCCAACTGCTGACTACCACCCAGTGTGAACATAACCCTATCTAACCCCACTTAACTAGTCGGCATCAGCTGTAAACTTGAAGGTGATCTTCTGTTTTCACTGCTTGTGAGGAGACAGGGAGATTCATACCCAGGCCAGGAAGCCCTGAGCCACAGCCTCGGTTCCATCATATATGGTTGTCTGCCTTTGAGAGAGGCCCTTGGCTTCCTCATTATTAAAAGGATATAATAACAATATCTCATGTGATTAAAAGAATAGAATGTACTCAAGTACTTTGTAACCTTTAATGCTAAAGAGGAAATGTTGGTATAACAGGTGTTAAGATTGTGACTATTTTGGGGAAGCAACCTCAAATTAGCCCAGGAAAGCAGAATCAGATTAATAAAGCTGGAAAGAAAGCTGGAAGAGTAAATTGTACATTTTTATTGATTACTGGTTCTCGAAGCCCATATTGGCCCAGTTCATACTGAACTGTGGATTAGGTGGGGGTAGGTCCCCTTCAGAAAGGAACTGAGGAGCCGGTCATCTATGCAGAAAACCGGGGGTGCAGCGGGGGGAGGAGGCTGTCTCCCCAGTTTGGAAATGCCAGAAAGGAAAGAAATTTCATTAACAGCATCTTACTGTGAAGTCCAGTATTTTACTGGACTTTACAATTCAGATTTGGGATTTTGTATGTTCATTGAGAGATGCAATTAATACAGTTAATCTCAAGATAATATTCCTATTAATTTTGATTTTGCATAGAAAAAGCCTACAGTAATCTGTAATCAAGATTTGCCCAGTTATATGTCAGTTATACCTCAATTTAAAAAAAACAAACCTGCCCTGACCAGGTAGCTCAGTTGGTTATGGCATCATTCTGCTATGCCAAGGTTGTAGGTTCAGTCCCCGATCAGGGCACACACAAGGATCAACTAATGAATGCATAAATAAGGGGAACAACAAATTGATCTCTCTCTGTTAAATAATTTCTTTAAAAAAAAAACAACTAAGTGGTTAAACAACTATGGCACATTTACACAATGGAATACTATTCGGCCATTAAAAAGAAGAAAATTTTACCCTTTGCTACAGTATGGGTGGACCTGGAGAATGTTAAGCTAAGTGAAGTAAGCCAGTCAGAGAAAGACAAATACCATATGATTTCAGTCATATGTGCAATCTAATGAATAAATTGAACTAACAAGTAAAATAGAGACAGACTCATAGATGCAGGAGGACAGCCATGGGCCAGGGTAACAGAGGGTGGACGGATTGAACAAAAATGGAAAAGGACTCATGGACATGGACAACAGTGTGGTGATTTCAGAGGGGGGTGGATGTAAGGGGGTATAAAGTGACTAAATGTGAATGGAAAAAATATAATAAAAAAGTTAAATATAAAGTAAAAAAAACAAACAAACCTGCCCAGAAAATAGAAAATAGGACGCTGCCCAGCAGGGCAGTGTGGCTGGACGTTTCAGTCAGCTGGGGCTGCAGCTCCCTGTCTGAGGTGGCAGCGAGGAGTACGCCTTTGTTCTGGCTGTTCCCAGGAAATCTGTGTATGACGTTTATTTACTTGCCTCTAACACTTTCACATTTCAGAGTATTCCAAAGCCATTCAAAGCATCAGGTCAATGTTACAATCAGACTAATTACAGATGTAAATGAATGGAATTTACACTCAGACTGATTAAGGATGTAAATGAATGGAATGACTAATTGCTCACTGCAGATAGGGCTGCTGTAGGCAGAGCTGTGAATGAGAGCCGGCACAGCGGCTTGGGTCCTGCTCTGGGGCCCGCTGGTTAATTGAGCTCCCCTTTTGCATGGCTAGTTGTGATTTAAGTCCTTCAGAAGAGCATGTTATGAGCTATAACCCAATTGGGTATTAACAGCTTAAGAGATTTCTAGGTTTGTAAAGAAGCATGTGACTAGGATTTCAGCCTCCCCACATTCCTCCTCCTGGAAAGCAGTATGCTGTTTTGTTTTGTTTTGTTTTGTTTACATAACATTATGTAGGCTTTTTGGCTTCTGGAATTGATGGCTTATATTGGTAGGACTGGTATCCATTTCTGTCCCCTTATTACAGAGATCTTTCTCGCCTTTCAATATGGTCTCACCCTGTTTTTCTCCATTTTTCAGTTCCTTTGTCCCTGTCTCGTACCTTTGTTGTCAGCAGAACAGAGTTGTTAGCAGCAGGTTCTTCAGGTAATTCTGCATGTTTCCTTTTCATAATTCTTCTGATTGTCCCCCCAGACCCCCGCAAAGCCTCCCTTGGTTTCCCTGTAAGCTCCAGAACTCCACATTTCTGTGCCGTCCTAGTGAGCGAGTATAAGCCTGCAGCAGGTGCAGAAAGGGCTTGGGATACTGGCAGGAAATCTTGGAACATGAACAGCGATGAACCCTGGGAAGGGAGAGTGCTTCGGACCTGGACCGTCCGTGTTCCCTGCCTGTCCCCCAGACACCACTGACCTTGGGTTTTCGGGGCAGCAAAAGGCGGCAGCTTTTGGTTCTTTCTCTGACCTCAGCAAAGTCACGGCGTGTGGAGGCTGAGGCCCCGAGGACCTCAAAACCTGAGGATGCTTCTCCAGAACCCACACAGCGGGAAGCCGGAAGGACTGGGGGCTTCTCTTGGGAAGCCCCCAGCGCTGCTGTCTCTTTGGTCCTTCCAGCATCCATGGGAACGGGGTACGCGCATTTCTGCCTCTGTCAGGCAGGTGCCCCCCCCCGCCCCCCCCCCCCCCCCCCCGCTTCTCCTGTCTCCCTCTCTTTGCTTTGAAATCACACTGTGCACATTCCTAACAAGCTGCCGGCTACTGCCCTGCAGGGGAGTCCGTTGTGCCTGGCTAGTATGTCCAGCTCCTAAAAACAAAAGCAAAGGTTTAATCTTTCTTTAATTAAAGTTGCTGGGTTTCCTATTTGATAGTACAACTTTTCTGTATTTGTTTTGTTCCATACAACTTAAATTTTAAATATCTGACTGTAGAAAATTGTGTTTCATAAACCAGTTTCAGCAAAACTCTAAAATGCTGATATTTGGTACAGGAAGCAATACTTGTCTTAGAAACTAATGTTCTCTCAAATCTTTGCTTTAAAAAGCTTGGGGTGTTTGGGGGTAAGATATCATTCCTAAGGCTATTTGAATCAAACCAGTTGGCAGACTATACAAACACAAACATACATGTGTGCACATAGTATATTTATGCGTATGTTTTTTCTCCTCCCCATTTTATTTGCTGGCACCTGCCACCTGTTTAAAATGCGACAGAAGCTGAAGTAGAGTGACTTGGATGAAACTCATGGAAATGTCATTTGTTTTTTATGTTTCTCATAAAACTTAAGAGATTTCTTAGCTCTGCCTACTCCATCTGATGCAGTAACACAAAAACACATTTTGCAGGTCCAGGCCTTCGGGGAAGCTGGTATTACCATAATATGATACGTAGTAAATGGGGGTTGAATTATATCAGTGATTTTCAGCTCTTCTAAATGGTGCCTTGTAGTTCCAAGGGAATAGGCGGGGAATGTTTCTTGAATGTACCTTTCTTAGCTCATTAGCAAAAAGACAGGATTCCTAGGTAGAATGAATTAAAAAATGCCAAGACAAAAAGCAGAAAGGAAGCAATTCTGAGAAGGCATAAAGAGGAAATCAAATTGGAAGTTGTTTTGATAATCATCCAAAATTTTGGCACATAAATTTGGCAACAAACACATCCTGAACTGGGGAGAGGCCATCTAAAGTCTTTATTCTCCTTCGAGTGAGCATACATACGTTTACGTTGCGTCGCCTGTTGACGAGAGGCTGATCACTCTGGAAGCCTGTTGAGCTGCAGAAAGGGTCCTGCAAAGGGAGTTGGCCTTTCCAGATGGGCTGCAGGGCCGGGCACTGGATCCCTGGCAGCGGAGAGGGCCCTTCTCACAGAGCCAGAGGCGGTGGGTTGAGAGGAGGCTGACTGGGAGTCTAGATGCATTGGAAGACCAGAGGAAAGGCCCTGTAATCCTCCTCAGGAGGAAGTAACAGGAGACTCAATAAGGCATCAGGCCTGCGATGTCTACCTGTGAACACACAGGGTCTGATCTGTAAGCAAAGTGCCCTCTGAATGTTCCATTTTTGTAACCTTTAAATTGTAACACACAGGCATGGGCACCATTTTGAAAGTATCTGTAGAAATGGTGATGTGATTTGGGACTAAGGCCCGGTGATGCAGTGGCATCTCTTGTTTCAAAGAACCATTGGGTCTGTCAGCCTGGGTGAAGCTATGCCAAGTATGGGAAGGCTTGCTCATGAGGGTAGGCCCATGGCGGAGGGGTCTGACAGGAAGTGAGCAGGAAAGAATATGATGATGTTAACCATGCTTGTTTATCGGGTATTTAATGGGTGTCAAATGCTATGCTAAGCACTCTATACATTACCTCATTTTGAATCTTCTTCAGACTACATGAGGTGGGTGGTATTATTATCATCTGCCTTTTACAGGAATCCGAGGCTTTGCAAAGTTGGAACATCCGATCAAAGTTCCATTCTGCTAAACAGAAACCATGATAAATTATTAATGTGCCCTGTTCTCTCAGAAGATAAGTGGAAGCAGCAAGAGGGACTGCTGCTCTTGAGTTTAATTTTGACCTAACAATGGAAAATTGGTTCATGACGTGAAAATTGTGGGGAAAGTTGTGATGTGGAAATTTTAGCAGAAAGTGGGGTCTTCATTTGATGTTCCTTGAGTATTTACCATGGTTTGTTCTGGGTGCCGTGTTTTACAAGGGACATTTATGAATGAAATCTCAGTGAAGGGTGACGTGAAGAACCGTTGATATATTTAACTTGGAGACGAAAAGATGTAAGGAGAACATACTGTCTTTGAACTTTTAAGGGCCATTTCAAGTAGCGAGGAATGAGTCACTCAGCTCCAAAGAGTAAAGGAGAGATGTCATTTGAAATTAGAGAGGCAGTTTTTGATGGGCATGGTGATTTTCCAGTTGTTGAAGTGTGGGGCCAGCTGCGGGCCAGCTCCTCCGTGGGAGTCTGTCAGGGACCCTTTTGCATGGAGAATTGGTCCAATCCTGTGACATGATGCAATTCAGGACCTGTCCAGTGTGGGCACCTGGTTAATAGTTGTGGAATAGATTTGATTGGAAAACCAAAAACGGAAAAGGCTCTGTGAGGGGCAGGTGGGGGGCTCTTATTTTGAAGAAAATTTATGTTAGACACTATGGTGAACTTGCCTTTAAGAGCAGCATCACTTAGACTCACCTGAATTTCCTTTTAAGGATTTGGTGTCTCCTGGCATTGAGACATCCTTGAGCTGCATGACGGGGGTTTATTGGAGTCAGAGGCCAAGATAATGAGCTTGGGTGGGAGGTTGGGTAGGAGCAGATAGAACTATTTTGATCCTTTTAAAACACGTACTGATTTATGGACACCCTCCAGAGTCTTTTGCTTTTGCTTCTGGCAAAGTAAGGAAGTGCCGCCTTCCCACAGCCTATGTTTGTCTCAAGTAGCTTCTGTGCTTGGGCCGCACTTCCCCCGGTCTTGGCGACGCTCCTGACAGAGGTGCCAGAGGTGCGCGGCCACAGGGCCTGTGCCACGGAGGCCGGGCAGGGCTGCGCCAGCTCGGGTGAATGGGGCTGCGCCGTGGGGGGAAGGGGACCCGTGGCCTGGGCGGCCAGGGAGCTCTCGCAGGGGGCCCGTGTGGCGGCGGGCTGTATGGCTGAGGCGGCTGGCATAAGTGGATGGAACCCATTTATTAGTTACTACTTTTTTATTATTTGGAAAATAAAAAGCTGCCTTTATTGGTGACAGCTGCTTCACTTAGAAGGTGGGTGGGTTTTTTATTTTTTTCCCCTCCGTTTTCAGGTGAAAACAAGTCACCGCCTCGCCCATGCGGCTTGAATCACTCAGACTCTCTCAGTCGAAGTGACCGGATTGACGCAATCACCCCGACGCTGGGGAGCAGCAATAATCAGCTCAATTCTTCATTCCTTCAAGTCTACATCCCTGATTACTCAGTGCGCGCCCTTTCTGATCTCCAGTTTGTTAAGGTAAGAGCAGAGTGAGCCGCTTGGCTGGACCTGGCAGTTCCAGGTCAAACCCACAGCCAGCCATGTGGCTCCCCGGCCCCTCCACTGAGCTTCTTTTTGTCATTTTGCGGGTGCCCTGCCTCCAGCTCCTGTGCCCAAGACTCAGGTGGGGAAAAACATTGATCTCCTTGTCTCTATCAAATGAGCTGCCAAGTCAGAGGTGGCTTTTTCAGGGAATGAGAGCTGGAGATCACAAGAAAAGGAATCAACTTTTTTCAGCGAGTCTTCAGGAGCTGGGGCTCCGGGGACTCTGCCTGGCCCTGGAAGGGCAGAGGTCAGAGCCTCGGAAGACTGGCCAGGGTGGGGTGGGAAGAGCCCTCCGCTTGCCTTCTGCCCTGGTGACAGGGTTCTTTTCTTAGCCTGAAGTAGAGGTCTTTTGGAGAACGAGCCAGCTTTAGCTGATGGAAGCCTAGCTCCATTTTCTAGTCTGTGAAATTTTGAGACAAAATTTGGAAATGGCTCATGTCAGTAAAAACTGACTTATTTACCAGAGTCAACCGGAACTTTAAAAGGTGGCTCAGTTGGTTCTCAAGGATGACTTTCTCCTGGAGAAACTACTAGAGGACTTTCGGGGGGTTAACAGGTGATGCGCTATCCAGACGAGAGAACCTAAAACTAAACATTCTCTTGGTTTGTGTTCTGTACCACCTTCTGGCCCCAGATCTCAAGACAGCAATACCAAAATGCCTTGATGGCATCCCGGATGGACAAAACGCCTCAGTCTTCAGACAGTGAAAACACTAAAATTGAATTGACTCTTACGGAGCTGCACGATGGGTTGCCAGACGAGACAGCTAACCTGCTTAATGAACAGAACTGTGTGACGCACACCAAGGCTAACCACAGCCTACACAACGAGGGCGCCATCTAGGGCACCCCACCGGCCCTTGCCCCTCCCGCCCCCACGGCCAGGCCGCCTCTGTGAGACAGTGAACCCCATTAGTGTGAGCTTGTGTGCCATGCTGCATCCTGCAACATCCTGAGACCAAAGACTTTGTCCCCTTCCTGGAAGCAGCAGAGGAGGTCGGTGAGAGTAGGAATGGAAACTAGAGCTGAAGATCGACAGCTAGGGTGTGGCCTTCGCGATTTTGGAGATGAACTTCTTCCGCCCAAATAGAATCATGTTTATTTTTTCAGCTGTACCTTTTTATTATTCACTATCCTCTTTCCTTGATTTGCATGAAGTTGAAAATTGTTGGAATTTATTTTTTTTCCCCAAGAGATCATGTTTTTAAAAAGTGTCTTTTGCAGAGTTTTAAGTTGTCCAGGCTGAACTCTACAGTGATGATGTGACCCCACTAGGATATGAACTTGCCCCTCCAATTGCCTTCCGTGGGCCCTCCCAGCGAGGGGCCCCCTTCCTCTGTGCCCCAGTGGGTGTCGCTGTCGAACCTGAAGGATGAATGAAGACCGCGCTGATGCCGACCTGCCACGCCTGTGACGTTGTGGGGAGGAGCCTCTACAGGGACCTGCAGTCAGTCGCCGCTCTGAGCTCAGTGTTGTTTTAAGTCAGTGTTTAACTGTGTCCCTTCCCCTCGGAAAGGTTTAAATTTGCTTGGAATGTGATTGTGCTCCCACTCTTAAGGAATTTTTATCACCAAAATGAATGTTAATGAATTTTAAACCCATGGTTTATCATTGGCAAGAGGCAAGGTGGCTTCACCCCGACACCGCTGCAGCCGGGGACCTCGGGCGCGGCCAGGCCTCCTCCCCACCCCAGCTCGCAGCGCGCGCTGCTCTCCTCCCCACCCGCTCTTGTTCACCCGAGATGCTGCTACACAGATGCCAAATGGAAATCCTCCGCGGGGCTTTTGAGTAAACACGTGGTGTGGAGTTCAAGCTCCCGCTTCCCACCGGGATGTGTGTCCTTGTCAGAAAAGGAGCTGGGCCTTCCACCTGTGCTCCGTGCTCCATGCTGAGAAGTTTTTCCTAAACCCATATGTTTCAAGGAGGGAACTTCGGGGACTGCCAGCCCCTGCCCCTCTTTCCAGGGAGCCAGCTGTCCCTCCTCCAGTGTCCCTGGGCCCATGGGGCCCGGTGGTGGCTGTGTCCTCTGCCCGAGGACCTCTGTGCCTCAGAGGCGGCCGAAGCCAGAGAGGCTGCCTATAGAGCCAGGGTCAGTTTGGCCCCAAACAGGGATTCAGAAACCAAATGTGTATTGTGGCCATTTCATGTGTGTCTCCGCATTATTTTAATACCAGATTCATCATGTGTAGAGAAATTCACGTCTGAATTCTTGGCTATCTTATCTGTGTTTTAAGTGTTAGCCCAAGGGACGTGTGCATTTTATTGGCAACATCCGTGCACTGAAGTGAATTCACACCGACCACAGTGTTTGTGCAGCGCTGTCAGTCCACGCTGCGGCCAGTCGCTAGCCAAGGAGATAGATAGCACTGTCTCCGTGGGGTCCCAGGCAACAAAGGGAAGCCCTGGGGCTAGGCAGCAGTGTCCTCCCTCCTCAAGGTAGGCATGTGCACCCCAGGCTGGTTCTGCGGGGCGGGAGCTATGCTTGGGGAGTAGCCAGCAACCTTCTGGCTCGCCTTCTGAAGGCAGTTTGGTGGCTCCAGTGCCATACGCACACTTGGCGAGTCTCTCCTCTGGTTGTCCTGCAGCGTCCTGCTTGGGGGTTCCTCAGAGTGGTCTGTGCCCCTCCTGAGGGAAGTACTGGCCTCCCTTCATGGGAGAGGGTCTCAGGGGTGTCCCTAAAGGGGCGGAGTGGCCTGTTGCTGGCACCCAACCTGCCCCATGGCATGGGGCCCCAGCATGGAGCTTGTCGTTAGTGGAACCCTGCACCAGTTGGGGGGGAGGTGTCTTTTTATACACAGGTTTATCTAAACTTAAATCTCAATTTCTTAACCTACAGCTAGCTGAGCACACCCCCAACATGGCAGGAACTGGGACTATCTGTAGGGTGTGCAGAAACGAGCATTCCCTGAAGTGGAGTCTAGGCCTTGCTGGGGCAGGGGCTTCTCCCCTGACAGCCACGGCGCGCTCTCGGCGCGCTCTCGGCGCGCTCTCGGCGTGCTCTCGGCAGTCAGCACGTGCCCTCCCTGCGCCCCGGTGGAGGCTGGCCTGCTGAGCCCCGGCTCCTCCGGCCTTCGGGGTCTTGGCCCGTCAGCTTCTCCCAGTCGATCTGCTGCTCCACGCAGTCCGTCTCAGGGTGCCTTGTCCTGGAAGGAGCCTCTGGAATCAGTTAATGTGTCGGGCCTTTTTCAGAGCCTCGCTCCTCCTTTCCTGAGTCCTAAAGCTCAAGTGCAAGTCCGGGCCCTGCCTCCTTGACGTCAGGGAGAAACATCGCTTCTTAGTACCCAGTGCGGTGGCTTTCTGTCCTCCCTATAAAGGAACTAGCAGGGGTGGCTTTGCATTGGGGCTCCCAGAGGACTAAAGTTTGGCCTCCCAAGTTTATATTTTTCTACAAACCACTCTTTACCTTTGACTATTCACACTTTTAGAACAACAGGGAATATACAAAATAATTCCTGTCTGGTCCCTAGAGGAATGAAGGCTAACTTGTGGCTGTAGTTACATCTGCTTTGGGGAATGCTCAGGACTCTTCAAGTAACAGTGTCTGAGGGACCAGGCTTCTTTTCCAGACCCTGCTTCCCTTCAAGAAACTAATTTCAGGCTAAAGGAGAAACGCTGGCTCACTGCTTCTCCGAGCAACAGAATGATTTTGGCTTAGAAGGTCTATGCAATTCCTGTCTATAAGGGAGTCAGGCAGAGAGAGACCATCAAATAGTTAGATCTCCATGTGCAGTGGCCAATCTTGAGCATCACCATCGATGGTCCTCTCCCGGGGCTGCCAGCTTTGTAAGTGTCGAGGGGAGGGGGCTGTGTGGCAGATGCAGGTCCTAGGGCCCTGAATTCTGCTGGAGCCCCTGTTGTCACTCCAAGGCCCCCCCCCCCCCTCCCCCGCCGCTCTCGCTTCTGTGGTCCCTGCTGTGGAACCTCTTCCTGTTCCTGAGCAGTCGCTCTGGTATCCAAAGGCTCCACCTGGAACTGGGTTCCTAGTATCCACATGTTCCCAGGACTGTCTGCTTCTCTTTATAAATGAAAGTGGCTTTTCCCCTACTGCCTTGGAGGTTCTCCCCCTGTATTTCTGTTTTGTATTCATGAGGCAAGTCCAAAATCATGTATTTAAACTTTTAGGAAAGCAAATCCTTAAGATTTGTTCCTGGATATTGGGTGCTAATATACTGGCTTAAGCCTTGGCCTTGATTCTTACAGAGTTTGAATTTGAAAGGGTACCCTGTTTAATTCTGTTCTCCCCTCCTTCCTTGCCCCATTCCCGAAGTCGCTCCGTACCCATGCCAACGCAGTTGGCTTCCCCTAGTCGGAGGGTGTGGGGCATCGGGCGTCTTGCCATTTTCTACTGTTATTTCAAGGAACTTGTGTGCAACTGTTGAATGCAGAATTCCACACTAATAATATGAAACATTTACTGTGAATATATTTACCTGTGCTATCCCCAGGACTGTACAACTGAAGGACCAGCTGTTTCAAGTCTGGAGAATAGTGGTAGATACAAGTAGAATTGCATTTTTTCCCTAGACAATGAAGCAACAGGTATTTGGACTAAGCAGGGACTGTGAACCTGCCCTTAAATTCTCTCAGGTCGAGAAGCAGACCTAAGTAGGCCGTGGCTCATTGATCCTGTGTCCTGGTTGGTTAGAAGCAAAAACAAAACCCAACCCTGTCATCTCCTAAAAACCAGCCAGGGAGCTGTGGTGCACTCTGCTTTCCCTGGGCCAGCGGACCAAGGTTCCTCCAGGGGTGACCGCTGGCAGAGGACACTTAGGCTGGCATGGGAAAATGCTCGCCTTGTTCCCTGGGATTTCAGGAGGCCACGAGGGTGGGTTGGCTGGGTGCATGCTACATGGCCTGTGCTCCCCGGTGGCATGGGCGGAGGGAACAGCCCCTCAGCTTCGATCTCAGAGCTGGGGGCCTCTCGTCGAGAGCGCCAGGGCTGCGCTGGCGGTGCAGGGTGCAGAGGCATCCTGCGGCGCTTGCTTCCCCATGGAGGACACAGGCTCTGGTCTTGGGTGAAGCGTCATCCCATTCTGTGTGCTGGGCTAGTGGTGCTTTTGTCCAGCAAGGGTGTCTGGGTGAGCTATAGGGTAACCCAGAACTTAGGAGGTACTGAGGGAGTTCAGTATGAAGGTGACTTGGGGATTCAGAAACATTTCCAATGCAAATTGATCAGTGAGCAACCTACTCAGTGAATTTTTATACCTCAGGGCCATTTGCAAATCTCTCTCGTCACATTTCTTTCGTATGCAAGTAGGCTGCCAGGAGAGAGAGGATAGTTTAGAGAATTCTCAGCTGAGGTTCATTTGTCTCGTTTGCGGGTGCGTGGTGCACCCAGGCCCAGCCTGCTGATGTTAACACCCCTCGAGGCTGTGACCGTGAGCCTTCATCCTCTGGGACTTACAGGCGTTCCTTCTGCAGGGAATGCCTTCTCGCTCCTTTTCCTTCTGGTCAGCCCTGAGGACAGGAGGGAGGAGATGGTGGTCCATGGCAACTGCAGAGCTTGGAGCAGCTTTCCTCCCACCGTCTTGGCCTGGGGACCTTCTTTGCTTCTTAGATCTTTGTGGTTGGGTCAGCTCAAGTAAGTAAGCTTTCCCTCGGTACAGCCACTGACATCATCGCACTAGAATTGTCTTAAATATCTTTTTATGGGAAATACCAGGCTGTTCTTAAAGCAGCATGGATACGAGGGTTCTAGTGGCAAGGGAGGAAAGTTCTAGGAGTGTGTATGCCAAGGTTCCTATACACACAGAGCTGACCCACCCTATAAGACTTGAGTGAATACATGTTTTCGAGTTTTAATACCCAGGGGAGTATTAAACATGAACAAATTGGAAGAACGACTGGGAGTACTGTCTTGCCTCACTTGGCAGGGTATCTTCTGGCATTTGCCTGCCCACATCTGACTGGCATGGATTCCCTCAGAAAGTGATTCTTCTGGGGCCAGACTCCTCTTCAGATGCAACCTGGAGAGACCTATAAAATAGACCTGCTGGGGCTTGGGAGCCCTTTTGTTGGAGGCCCAGGCCCCTTGGATATAAACAGCTGGTCTCAGGCTTCCAGAGCAGAAAGGAGTGGGGAAGAGCAAGGCCTCGGCTCTCACTCCCCAGAGA